AGGCTGACCACAGCCCTAGCCACTTATGCATCCGACCCCGAAGTCGAGGTGCACTTCGAGAAGGCTACCATTATTGTCAACACGCCCCACCAACAGCAGCTTAGATGGCTGGAAGCCGCGGCTATCCACAACGCCGACCGGCTAACTACCTGCATTAACCGGAAAGAGGAACTAACCTTGTCTCTGGCCTGGCAATCGCTATTGGACGCCAACCCACCGCTTCCTCCCCCCGCCGCACGACCGCACACACCGGAAGAGACCCACCCCCTCGAAACCGACACCCGATCCTAGAGAATAATATACACTCCGTCCGGGGAATTCCTTCAGTTGACCTGAAGAAGAGCGATTGGAACGCTCGAAAACGTTTGTCAGGATATTTTAACATATACGCACAGAGCACCAGTCACAGGTTCCGTAGTGTGACGTCATTTTCATCCCGGTGCTGTGGATAGAATAGTTTCTGCATTTAACTGTTAATTGTTCAATAAATATATATCAATGAAATTGGACAATCTGAATAAACTATAAGATCATCAAATAAAAAAACAGTAGGCAGAGCCTGAAAAAGTCCTCTTAGTACAAGTAAGTTAGCATAATCATAGATTCAGTAAACCAACAAAATGGATGGATGGACAGTAAAACATGACCCAACACATCTGAGTCTCTTAAACTACTCATGATTCAATTTACTCAAATCTAGGTCTGTCAAAACAGTAATGCTTTTACATACAGCTTATATATACTTTATAGTGAGGTAACGTTAATACATAGGGTGGGCATCATGCCAACAAATGTACATACATGAGGAGAATAACTCAACATAAATTTATGTTGAGTTAAACTTAGGTTCACATTGAGTGTGATTCGCTGGCGAAAGTAAAAAACAGAGCAAATAACCCATCAAACGAGTCATGTTTGACTGGTTATTCACTCTGTTTTTCACTTTTGCTAGCGAATCACACTCAGTGTAAACTAAGCTTTATTCTCCTCATGTATGTATAGCAAGACTATAAAATTAAAATTTACATAGAATAATAAAACTTTCCAAGTACCAAAACACATTTTGCATTTACAAAAGTGTTCCTGATGTATAAATATTAATTTCCTTTATTGGAATTTAATATACTGTATCTTAAAAAAATGCCATTCATTATTAAAAATACATAGTACAAAGCTAAAACTAGCAATATTTGCCAGATATAATCATTCACTTTTATAAAACTACTGAACACTAGTAGTTAATTTATACCCAAGCAATGGGCTGCCACATAGTTTTTTGGGTTTTCTTCACATGTCTAACACCTAAATAGAGATCACTTTTTCATAAAAAATCCTCCCAGGAGGCATTAGCAGATTGTATATGTGTTGCAATGCTGTCTCCCATCAAGCCAAACTAAACACTGTATAAAGGAGATCCTCTACAAAATAAAAACCTGTCAAAAATGAAAAATTCTGGCTATCATCATCTATTTTCTATTTAGTTTTAAACAAGTTTTATTATATTTTGTATATTCTCAATGCAGCTATGTGTTGTGTGTGTCTGTGTAACAAACTCACACACACACAACACACACACTGTATAAATTATATGTATATACTGTATAAATTACATTATGTGAATGATATAACAATGAGCAACTGTTAACTTATGTTAAGTGCAATGACTAGATCAGTGGTTTTCAACTGGGGCATCACAGCATACTAGGATACTGCAACAACACTTTGGGAGTAAACAAAATATAGTGCAGAGTAGTGCCATATAACTTCTTGTGTAACTATAAAAGTATAAAAACAATAATAGCCATACATTGATAAAGCAGTAAGAATGGCACAAGGAAACAGTTAATAAGTTGAAGTGCCAGTATTAGGAGAAAGGTTAAAACACTGGACTAGACAGTCAAAACAGGGGGAGTGCAAGGAGGTGTATCATGCACCGGGCGCCATTCGCAGAGGGGTGCCCAAATGGTCTCCAAGACAAACTATATGTGTTTCTGGAGGGAGGTGCCAATAAAGTGTCGTGCCCCGGGTGCCAGTTATGTTCGCTATGCCACCGAGTCGAAATGTTAAAGACAGTCTACATTCTGGGGATTGGAATTCAAGTCTGGATCAGTTTAGAAATTTTCACAAGACTGATTCAGATATATCAGAAAAATCTCTAACCAGTCAGCAGTTTCAAATATGGGTTGGATCAGATACATGAAGGGGTCCAAGCCAATCATGGATTTTACAATTCACCAAAAGCTCATGTAAGTTGGAAAGGGTTAATAAATAGAATGTTTTGAATTTTAATTTAGATAAACCATTTTCTAAATTCAATTCTAAATTTTAATTGATATTTCTTGCATAGCTGGATAAATTTTATAAAAAACATATACAAATTTATACACTAAACTTTTTATTACCTTAATTGACAAAGCATATAGATGATTTAACATCACGTGATTAGGCTCTGGAAGCAAAGTGGGCTCACACTGAAATGAAAAAACATTTTATCATGCAGCTTGTAAGTATAAAATGGGAAAGACAATTTTAAGTTAATTGTAAAGGAATGTCTACTTACCGAAACGGGAACATCCTTGTTTAAAATCACTTGCAATAAATGAGGAGGTAAAATCGGTGGTCCCGCCGTCTTCTCATAAGGCTTCTGGTGTGGTATCTCCTGTGAATATTCTCCAGGAGGTGATCCACAAACCCCTAAAAAATTCAAAATTATTTAAAATAAAAATTGAATATTTAAATCAGAACAGACACAAGTTTATAAAATGTAAAAAAAAAATCTATTTTTAAAAAATTCTTCTTGAAAATCCAAGACATAATCACTTAAAACAAAAGAGCACCTTGTGATCCACTTCCTGTCTTGACACTGTCCATGGCCAGAGCTTCAAAAACTTCAAAATCAGATTTCTTTATGGTTATGTAATTGTTTTTGGTACCCATCTCATTATCTGCTGTTGGCTGAAAGGAAAGAAAATAGATTACATCATAATCATAAAAAAGAAGTTTCTCAATCAAAAAATGATTAAAAAAATACCTCAGTGGGATCATGCTTCCACTGTCCATCCACTAGGAATTTGTATTCGTGATCTCCTTCTGGTATCTCCAAAATTAAAACAAAGTCGCCATGACTATAAGAAAAAGTTTGCTGAAATTCATTGTAACAGAAAAGATACAATTTAAAATTTCATAATATAATTATGTATTTACAGTGGAACCCCGGTTAACGAACTTAATCCGTTCCGCGACTCCATTCATTAACTGAATTGTTCATTACCAGAAGCAATTTTTTCCATAGAAATTAATGCAAATGCAATTAATCCATTCTAATCTCCGAAATTTTTGTGATTTTATTTGTAATATACAGTAATTTTCTTTGATGAAAATGTAGGAAAACGTAGTATCTATCATTACAGCAACAAACATGTAAACTTTGTTTAATAAAATAGCACTGTACATACCGTTGTAGTTGATGGCAGAAAAGTGGAGATATATGAACCTTAATGCTTAGAAGGGGAATCCCCTCCAAAAAAATAATGGGTAGCACTTCATTGAAAGATTCTTCAAGTCGAAGTCTCTTTCGGTAAAAAAACCCACCAGTGGCTAAGTGGTCTTCGTACCTTGAACACGGGGAGTTCGTTCATGGGTTCGCACCTCGTTCAGATGGGCATCTCACTCAGACAAGCTGGCCACATGGAGTTTTCCGGGTTTTCTCCACATCTGTAACACCTAAATAGGGGCCAGTTTCCCTTAAAAACACCTCCCAGAAGGCATTCCCCCTAGGCAGATCGCCCAAGTGTTGCGTTGCCATAACTTAACAAACAAACAAACTCTTTCCGTAAGGAACAAGAAATTGATCTAAAGTTGATTGTCTTACTCTTTTAATCAAAATTTTTCTCAAATGCGATAGCGCATTATCGTTTATATTGCATTGTTGTTTTCTATTGCCACTATGACTTTTTTCTTTCTTGGATGCCATATTGTTTAAATATATAAATCACAAAACTGAAAAAAGATAGCATAAACACTCGGAAAAGCAATGCTTAACTCGCGCATGCCTAATACCAACTAAAATCTGACACAAAATACTGTTACGTTCGTTATCCGAGACAAAATTTTTACAAAACAAAAGTTTGTTAACCGATTTGGTCGTTAACCAGGACGTTCGTTAACCGGGGTTCCACTGTAGTTCTCTAGGAGTAATATTCCCTTTATAAGTACAGAATTCCCCATATTTTTAGGAATACATTATATCCTGAAATTAAAATTGCCTGCATTTATTTATTTCTAATATTTATAGCAATGTTGCAATAAACAAATGATAGCACCCTCAACACAACAAATAAGAGGGCTGTTCAAAAAGTATCGGACCTTTGCTCGGCAAAAATACATTTATTGATTTTGAGGTACTAAACCCTAATCCCCTTCAAAATAGTCTCCTTGGTAGTGTATACACTTCTCCCAGTGTTCCTGATATTGCTGGAAACACTGCTGGAACGCATCTTTTGGAATGGCCATCAGCCAGTCCGTTGCATTCCGCACGATGTCTTCTATCGACTAAAATCGAGTTCCTTTTAGCAGCATTTTCAGCTTGGGAAATAGCCAAAAGTCACACGTAGCCATGTGGGGAGAGAACTGAGCGTGACAAACCACAGGAGTGTTGTGTTTGGCGACGAAAGCCCGAATCAGATGACCAGAATAGGCGGATGCGTTATCACGATGGAGCTGCCAAGTTTTGATCGACCACAGATCCGGTTGTTTGCGTCGCACAGTATCGGAAAGACGACGAAGGACCTCCTGGTAGTACTCCTTTGCGATGGTTTGGCCTTGTGGTGTGAACTCACGATACACCACCCCACAAGAGTCGAAAAAACTGTCAACATGACCTTGATATTGCTGCGGACCTGCCGCGCTTTTTTTGGCCTCAAGAATTGTCCCTGAAAGCCTGCTGAATCTTGCAAATGGTTTACGCTTGGGTATCGCCAAGGTTTTTGGCAAAATTTGATGTAAGATTGCTGCTCACGTTGTTCAGTCATTTTCCAACTTAGTGGAATCCGACGAGAGCTCACTACATGTCCTCACTCATAGGCCAACTGCCAACGACTGACGCTTCCTGCAGGCGGGAAAATTCAGGGCTGTGCATGACTGTCCCCTCCACAACTCCACCGAAAGAGGCCTCCCGCGCATCATTGGTTTACGCAGAAAAAATAAAAGTCCGATACTTTTTGAACAGACCTTGTATATGTTAATACTCATAATAAAAACAACATTCAAACCTATAAATACAGTAGACCCCCTATAAAGTGGGTTCATATAATACGTATTCATATAAAACAGCAAAAAAATTGCGATTGTATTAGTATAAACACGCTAAAAGAGACTCGTATAATACGGTAAAACATCATCGCAGACTCGTGTCACAACGGGATTGGTTGAATCTAGACCAATAGCGGATATCGTACAAACTGTTGAGTTTAAACAAGCAGTGGACCTACTAAAAACCATTTATTATTTAACGGCCATAAAAATTATATTTATATTAATGATGTCTCCAAAGTTCAGCGAATTTTTCGCAGAAAAATAACTTATCAGAAATCGCGGCCGCCGTTTGGTGCGCTGCTCCGCGACGAAAACAAGCTTAAGCAATGGCGACGTCGAACGGTGCACACTCGGTAAGTAATCCTACAATTTTTTGTTTATAGCATAGTTTATATGGATTATTCCCAAAAAATTATATATGTTTTGGAAATGTTAAGTCAAATTAGTCTAGAATCTATTAATTTTATGGAAGAAAACCTTTCAAACAGCCATAGTCCCTAAACTGCATACGTGCCGGGCTGTGATTGGCTCATGTATTTAAGTGACTCGTACAACATGGAATTCATAAAACACGGAATGTATCTACCATGTTATAGGGGGTCTACTGTATATTCAAAAATAAATACAGAATTTTGAGTTGATTCCATTATAAGATTTAAAAACAATAAATCAATTTCAAATGGCAAAAAATTGCACTAAAAATCAAGATTAAGAGTTAAAAATTTAGCCTAATCATTTCAGAACAATATAAATATAATAAAGATGTTAAAGTTTGTGTTTTATATTAAATGTAACATTACTGACACTTCTTAAACATGATATAAACAAAATAGGTTTCTAATTGTGTGTAGTGTCCTTGTAATCCAAAAATGATTCTTGGTAGACGACCAAACAGCAATTGGTTTATTTAAAACAATTTTTTATTCAAATGCATTTTGGGTTGGTTTATGTTCCCAACCCCTCTTCAGTGCTGTAAAAAATACAAATCAAAGTAAGGTTCATGACATTGGTAAATATGACATAAAAAAAAGGGGAGGTAAAAAACAATCAAAAACATTATACCTAGACATGCTGTGTGGAAAATTGAACAAATGATTAAATCTAATGACATATTTTAACATAAAAAATGGATTAATTCTAAGTATCAATTAAAAAAAGTTTTACATAAATCTAATTACAATAACAACCCATACAAAGGAATAGCAAATGATTATAAGTATAAAAAAAATATGAACGGCACAAGTTATTTTCATACCCAACACCCAAAGAGAAAAATGCTTGGATAAATAAATTAATCATAAATAACCCTAAAGTACTAATACCTAAATATGTAAGACATTTCCTAGCATTAGGAATAGAATATAACTGACCCATCAATGATATAACAACAAATATGATACCTGATATTGACAAAAATGTTAAAGACTACAATTAAAAAAGAAGAAAAAGGAAATTTAATTACAATGAGCATCCAAAATTTAAAACATGCAAAACAAAATAACAAACAGAATCAACAAATATAAAGTCAATTTAAAAAAATACAATAAATTTCCTTAAAACAAACAATCTTTCAATAATTTAAGCTGAGAAAACCAACCAACTGATAATCATTGATGATGATAATTTAAAACAGAAAACTATTGAACAGATTAATAACATATATATATTAAATTACAGTAGACCCCCCTATAATTACGATTCCTATAAAACTGCGAAAAAATTGCAACGGTATCCGTAAAAACCGGTAAGAAACTCCTATAATTACGTAAAATGTCATCGGGCAGCCGAACTACTTTCCCGCCGTCCGTAGCGCCACGCTACGAAGAGATTACTATCGTCTGTACAGTATTATATATAAATTATATATAAATTAGGTACTGTACATATAATTATATATTAATTATATATAAATTAGGTACTGTATATATAATTATATATTAACTTAATTTATTGTAACTTTATTATAATTATAT